CACGAGCATCGTCGCTACTTGTTGTGTTGTTAAAAAAACTTGACGTGCAAAGCATGAGGGTCTGACTTGTGGCATGGAGGAAGGAAACAGTTGGAACGGAGCAATGCGACAGAAAGAAAGGAAGAAAGAAAGAAAGAAGAAAAGAAGAAAGAAAGAAAGAAAGAAGAAAAGAAGAAAGAAAGAAGAAAGAAAGAAAGAAAGAAAGAAAGAAGAAAAGAAGAAAGAAAGAAGAAAGAAAGAAGAAAGAAAGAAAGAAAAGAAAATAAAGCAGTGTTCAGGCACGCCCAGGCCCCTTCAATTGGCCCCCTTTTCCCGAGAGAGCAAGGGTGCACACGGGCTCCAATCAACTCTTCATGTTTTGTTTGCGTTTGGCTTTCTATACGAAAGGACAAAACGATTGAATAACTTGAATGTGAAATTAGATATAAGATGCCTTCAGAAAATACTTTTAGTGTTCGTATTTAAGCTGTCTTTCGTATCGTTCTTGTACCCGTGTCTACTATGTGACAGGTTTGTCGGCCGCCAAGCTGCTGTCCGAGCGCGGCATTGACGTCACCATACTCGAAGCACGTGACCGGGTCGGAGGCCGCCTGTTTACCATAAAGGTGGGTGTTTGCTTGTTCGAAGTGCTTGCATGAGTAGTGTAACACTATGTCACAGATGTGGATAAAAATGAAAAATATCGAAGCATTATTGTCTTCTAACAAAGCTGATGAACGTACGACAAAATGAAAATTCTTAACATGATAGCATTAAAGAGGCCCTGCAACACTTTGTGAGCATGCTCAGAAAACGGTGCTAAATGTTATAGCGCAGCACGCAGCCTGAAATTCACAATAAATTTACCTAAGTCACCTAGAAATTTGCTTTCTCTTCTTTCGACAAATGACGGAAGACGCTCAAAAATCACTTGTAGAAAGCTATCTGTCAGCCATTAGCTGATTTAAACATGGTGCGCTCGGTCGTTACAGGAATCGCCGCGAGATGCCGCGACTTTTTCATGTATACACACGCAATCCCACTAAAAAAGCCGCGTTTCGAAAAAAAAAAAACTCCCAAGCATTTTTCTGAGGGTGAACATGGTTAAGTGCGAATACACGGGGTGATGCTATGAGGGGTATTTATTAATTCGCACTATTATATTTATTAATCACACTATGGTGCCTTATGGTGTAATGGTTCCTGGGAATCGCAATTTGATCACACGGGGGAGTTTACGTTAACTCACTGGCGAATGCCAACGGATTTTAACTTTACTCCCCCTCACGACCCGCTCTCGACGGAGACTGAGAGAGAAGGCGGGCGCGCGAGAGAGAGGGGTGCGCGCGCAGCTGCAGCGAGTGAGGAGAGCGGAGGAGCGAGCGAAGGGGGAGGGGTATAAGGCGCGTTACTGACACCGATATCAGCGTCGCGTCCGTGGCATATTCGGTAGAGCGTCGCGCTGCGGCCCGCCAAGTCCTCTTTCTTTTAAAGATAGAGAGAAGACTGCGGACGCCGCCGACGGCGGTGGATGGTTTGGGGTCGCTTATAAAGTGTATTCACACTTAAAAAAAAGTGCTCAAGGTTACGAGGCTCCCGTGACGTTTTTCTTTGCCCATGCCATCCCTCCTTGTTTAGCTTCCAGCGCTTTCCGGTGGTTTGTTAAAGTTTTAAGACTGTAAACAGTCTTGAAAACAAACCGCCGGAATCAACGCGGTGATAAACCCATGTCCGCACCTTTCAGCTTCACTGAAGAACTTGTACTAAGTGCTTCAATGGCACATACAACGAGATAATATACTTGCGAACGGGAAATGCAACAAGGATGGCGAGGAGACCCACCGCATCTGCCGAGAACGACGACGTGCCCGAATAGATTTATGGAAGGTGTAAGCACTCAGTTAAGGGAGCTTCTGGCTCGGGAGTTTGGAAGTCCGTCTCGTGTCTGCGACTGCCTGTTGTTTAACGATCAACCGAGACACAACACAGCATCACCTAGCTAAAGCTTAGCAGCAACCGGGCAGCAACCTAGAAAGCCTAGTATCACCCATAGCTAAAGCCTATCAACAACCTAGTATCTCCTAGCTAAAGCCTTTTGTACAACCTATAAACAACCCAACGTCATCTAGCCAAAGCCTATAGTAACAAGGGAAGCAACTGAGAAAGAACTAGCATTACCTAGATAGACCTATAGCAAAATATTACAGATGCAACCGACTAGTCTTCAAAATTATCCGGCTTCGCTGTTTCAACCACTGAAAGTTTCAACCCCCCCATTTTCGATCACTTAATTTCATTTTATATACTTCATGATTCCAAGACTACAATTGAAGACAAATAATCGTCTGATGCTTTCCAGTTGGCTAAATTGTCTGTCGGATTCGTATGTTTGTGTAACAAAGAGACGGGCTCAAAAAGCTCTTTAACCATACATGACGTACTCCAAGAAAGAGTTGTGAGAGGTGTGTGAATAGCGAACTTTAGAACCGAATCAAATAGGAATCGAATACACATACAAATCGAATAATATTCGAATAGTTTACGAATAGCAAAGTTACCATTTTCAATGCAGCCATACAATGGCAATGCCACCGTTATGAAACAGCCCAAGAACTCCACAGTATCTTCTGTGAAATTAATCACTCTGTATAGAGATGGGGAATGAGATTAAGATTCCAGAAGCGAGGTAAGAGAATAGCAATAAAAAGAATATAAACAAATATGAAACGCGCTAGTAAACTTGACAAAAGATATTAATAACCATGGCGTCAGTCTTTGGACATGAAATATTCAATCGTTTAATCTCTTCGACAAGGCTATATTCAGAAAGGTAATTGAAGAGCGACTGTCAAACCCGTCTCTGTTTCGTTTTGTCGCGCAACGGGCCTAATGTGCTGTGCAACGCATAACAGTTTCAAGTATACGGTACTACTGTTACGTGAGGCTGTTGCTGACCTCCCCTCCCCCTTCTCTCTCTGCAAAGAATGATTTGGTTGGCTGGGTGGACCTGGGTGGATCGTACGTGGGCCCCACGCAGAACCACATCCTGCGTCTCGCCAACGAACTGCAAGTGGACACGTATAAGATATTCGACGACCTCAAGTTGCTGCACTTCAGCGAGGTACGTATATACGCGTGAAGACGCGAGCCCATCCGTTTCACCTCCATCGCCCGCTTTCCTTTCTTTACTGCATTCCTCCCTTTTTTTCTCTCTCTTTCTGTCCTCCTATTTTCATATCCTCTATCTATTTCGTCCTCCCAAAAGAGTAGGCAGGCGTTGTGCCTCTCCAGGTGGCAGTTGTTAGCCTGGGCGCTCCCTCATTCCCCTGTGTCCTTGTGCATTTTTGTATGCAGATCAAATAAATAAATGCATAGCCTCCCATACACCATATATGAGGCTTTTTGCCACCATACCAATTACCATAGCCTGCTATATAGGAGATGGTAAATGAGGTGTGACGGGATTCCGTGTGTTTATATATACTCACAGGGCAAGGCGTACCCGTACGAAACCACGTGGGCCCACTTCGGCCTCAATGACCCCCTTGCATGGTTCGACATCAACTACGTCATGCGCAGGATGGACATTATGATGGAGCAGGTATGCAGAACGACGTTGTAATTAAGATTTAATTAGGTGACCTTGGGGCAAGAGAAAATGAGCTAAAGTGGCACTGCGAGACATCACCCATTAAAATTTCGAGTAAACGACATCAATGCTGTTAGTTTCATAGCCTCCCAAACTTTAGGAAAGGTTTGTAATCATAAATTGTAAAGATCGAGAACGATAATTGGTTGCACTTATAATTCAATCACCGCTGCGGAGGAAAACTGTGCATAAGATCGCGGCACCTACATTGTAGGGAGAGACGTACGCCTGGTAATGAGGAAAGGAGTATACGTAGCCCGTTCTCCATTACCAGGTGACGTCAAGTTAGCTCGCGCCCATTGTGGACTGTTGCGACCGGCCTATGCTGCCCCTAGAGACCCGGGATGAAGATGCCGAGGCAGCAGGAAGGTGAACAGAGGGTTTATTTACATTGCGTACATGGCAAGCGCTCTCTCAATTGATCTGAGTGGCTCATTAATTAGAGTCATTATAAAGGGTACGTTCTACTTTGATCCTGAAATCGGGGAAAAAGTGCAGATTGCACTGTCCAATCACGTGTCGCATACAACTTCCGAGGGTGACGCCCACACCCACCCAGGTAAATGGCCCCTATTGGGTCGTGGCCAGTCCACTGCACAAGTCGCACGAAGGGGCTCTTCCTTGTCTTTTGAGCGCCGCTGGGTGAGGGGTCCCACACTCAGACGACAAGATGTATCAAAAGGGGCTGCCGCAACAAAGTTCAAAAGGTCCGCCGATCTGCTCGCTCAATTAGCGGGGCAAGTTGTCGTTGCAGCTGACGCCGCTGTCTCATCCAAGGAAGACGTTGCGTCTGCGGAAACCATTGTGGTCTTCTCGGGTAACTGTTTATGGCACCTGACGGCACGATGCCTCGCTTTGCGGCTAGTAAGGACAATTATTACATGGCAGACATCAGGCCGGCAGCCCTTCGGCGACTTCTTTGACGAAGGAAGAACGCAGCTCCCTCGTCGGCCCAGGCGCCGGTCGTAACAGGACCAAATAGTTATCTCACTCACTCACATGCAAGAGGAAAAAAAAAAAAAACTAACTCACATGCAAGGAAAAAAAAAACAGCACAAACTTGGAAAGCTTGTGTCAAATACTTCGTCGGAAGTATTTTACACCAAGTTGCCAAGTTCGAAATAAATCGCAAGTGGTTTCATCGTGTATCCAATTAAGCACACTGCCTACTATATATTATGATTTTATAGACCTCGCGATAAAACAATTTTGCGGCTCCAAAACTTGTTGCCATAATATTCAGTCATATATGTCGAACCATTTGGCTTACGTTGACAGGCACACGAAAAGAAACGGATTGAGTGTCTATAGTGTACAGTCGATCCAAGTAATTGTTTCAAAAGTATCAGGTTGTGAACCAAGGCTGAATTCGCAAGGCCTTTCTTTAGTGCCCTTTATCGTCGTATGCTTTATTATTGCACAAGAATCACTTTAATTTGTTTTCGTGAACAATTACAGGTTAAAGTGAATTATCTTTTTGTTGGTTTCTAGTTCATTTAGGTCCTTAGCTTAAGTTAGGTGAGTCTAGGTTAGGTTAGGTTAAGTATAGCTATTGACTTCCAAACATAGCTGCTGAAACATACAAGTTTTGCAAAGTAAGTTATTCATTCATTCTGTAAATGAAACTTTTCTTTACAACAACTACAGAACAACATTAATAATAACAACAACAACAACAACATAATAATAATAATATAATAATAATAATAATAATAATAATAATAATAATAATAATAATAATAATAATAATAATAATAATAATAATAATAATAATAATAATATAATAATAGACCAATTTATCACGTTGCTTGATGTCACACCCATGGTCCTACTTTCACTGCCCAGAGAGCATCTTACCAAATATCGCGGAAATCCGCTACGTACAAAAATCTCCAAACTTAAATACTTGTATCTTTTATATCATGAGCATTATAAAATATCCAGAACAGAGCATCCACTTGAACCAAGAACTAACCACCCTAAACAATACGGCTACCTAAGTGTCATAACATTATTGAACACGATTTTTCCGTCATCTACAGCATTCTGGAATAAACTGTCATCAGCTGCTGCGAACTGTTATACCATAGAATCACCAACTCAAGATATGAAAAATATTCATTTGTCCTTAATGGCTTATCAGTACGAGGATAAATTAACTGCACAAGATGACGAGAGGTAATGAGTAGGGCTGCATGGATTATTATAAACTGCTATTTATTCTTACAGTTTGTGTGTTCACCCCTGTGAACGGAACATTGAATCTTTGACACTGTTTTTCTTTTACGCTATACCAAGTACTCTAACTTTATTGAGCAATGAATCGTTTCCTTCGCACTGTGTTCGTCTCTCTGCTTGCGACTCAATTTTAATTCTAATGTGTATCCACTGCTGTTTTGAGCAGGTTCTGCAGTATACTGAAAAGAAAAAAATTGACGGCAGCGTGAAAGAATCAATTTAAAACGGGCATAACGTTTAGTACCGGCGTTCAAGTTTTCGTCTCGCCCATGTCAGACAACGCAGTTTGTGAGTCATGTGCTCCGCATGCAGGTTCCCGCTGTAGATCCGTGGAACTGTCCCCACGCGGGAGAATGGGACGCTATGACGCTGCAGAACTTCTTCGAGAAGGAGTCATGGACGAAGTACGTATCCGTTTTATTTCGATAGCAAATATACGAACACCCCAGGGCACCTGCACTATTGCCGTCGCCGTTGGTGACACCGTGAGTGCTTGTGTAAAATCAAAGGGCTACAACTTGCACGTTATTAACAAATCAGTATGTACTAATCGGGTCGCCTGCCGTAAACAAAGCGAGTGAACGGAAGCTTAAACTTCCGAAACCTTACAGGCTCATTCGCAAATCTGTCCCAACAGAAATTTTACATTTCGCGTCTTATTACAGTCATTCGGTGCTTCTATGCAGCGCGATTGCTGACAAGACGCTTCTCCCGATTTTCCTCATCAGTGGTACATCTTAAACATTCGCCGCACGAATATCTGTGCCTCCGATGCTCGGCAATCTACATTCATGCCGTATGCCATAATTTTCTTTGAAATAAACCAGATTTCCAATTTTGAATACGCAACGCAATCCAACGAGTCTAAGAAAACGCAATACACCGAGTTGAAGAAAATATCTTCATAACTGGTAATATAAAAGTATTATATTAAAAAATTCGGCACATTTCACGTACCTTGGGAATTGACGTTATGCGAAGCATGCGGAGGGAAGGTCACCGCGTTGTAATTTTTTTTATTGAGCGACACGTCATGAACTGACACTAAATATATGTATAAATTTTGCACGCACAGACAAACGTTGAAGAGTTGCACGTGTTTATATAACCAGTTGTTTGCGCTTGCACAACGATTCCAACAGGAACATGATTGATTGATGATTGACATGTGGGGTTTAACGTCCCAAAACCACCATATGATTATGACAGACGCCGTAGTGGAGGACTCCGAAAATTGAGACCACCTGGAGTTCTTTAACGTACGCCAAAATCTGAGCACATGGGCCTACAACACTTCCGCCTCCATCGGAAATGCAGCCGCCGCAGCCGGGATTCGATCCCGCGACCTGCAGGTCAGCAGCCAAGTACCTTAGCCACTAGACCATCGCGGCGGGGCCAACAGGAACACGAGTATTAGCAACAGCAGAAGCTGAAATGAAGCGCTAAAGCTCGCGAGGATGCTGGCCTTGGACGCTGCTACACAAATCAACTTCAACGCATGAAACCTAACTACAATTTACGTTAACCCGACGTGTCGGCTATATTATAGGAGTGCATATGATTAATATGTGGGGTTTCACGTTCCAAAACCACCATATGATTATGAGAGACGCCGTAGTGGAGAGCTCCAGAAATTTTGACCATCTGGGGTTTTTAACGTGCACCCAAATCTGAGCACATGGGCCTACTGCATTTTCGCCTCCATCGAAAATGCTAGGAGTGCATATGTATTTTAATAAAATAGAATAACGACCACTGCAACTTACAATTGACGTTTCACAAACGTTAAGGTCTATTCAAAAAGCAGTTCCGAGAACTGGTGTGGCTCTGTGGTACAATGCTTGATTGCTACGCATAATAATTGGGCTCGATTCCCGCTGGGACCCTGATATTTATTCTTTGTATTCGTCGGGTAAATGCTGCCGATGTCAGGTTTTTCTTAACGATGCGTTAAAATTGTCCATATGTGTTCTCGTCGCTCCTGGGTAGACAATATAAGTGTCAATCACCTGTGGCCCATCATACCCGCATGCCAGCGGCACATACCCTGTCATATCATATGATATCATATCATGAATGGACGAACGGACAGACAGACAGACGACAGACAGACAGACAGACAGACAGACAGATAGATATAGATAGATAGATAGATAGATAGATATAGATAGATAGATAGATAGATAGATAAGCCGAAAGTACTTGGCGTATAGGCGAAGAAATCCTTCGCATTTAAAATAACGCACAGTACGTTTATGCCAGCCAAAATATTAACGTATTTTTTGTGTGCCGGTATTTTTTCCTTGTATTGAGAGCTGGATCTATAGATTACACGCTGTCAGATCAAAGTGTCAGCGCATTTTTCGTTACTACTATGCTCCCGCTCCACCGCGATGGTCTAGTGGCTAAGGTACTCGACTGCTGACCCGTAGGTCGTGGGATCCAATCCCGGCTGCGGCGGTAGCATTTTCGATAGAGGCGAAAACGCTGCAGGCCCGTGTGCTCAGATTTGGGTGCACGTTAAAGAACCCCAGGTGGTATAAATTTCTGGAGCCCTCCACTACAACGTCTCTCACAATCATATGGTGGTTTGAAACGTTAAACCCCAAATATCATCATCATCACTATGCTCCCGTCTCTGGAAAAACATCGACCGTAATATCTTTCCGCTTGTCATTGCAAGAGTATGACATAGAGGTTCTGGTTGCGTTGAGCAGTTAGTTGCATGCCGGGAGGAGCTGCGTGACTGTGTCATAAACGAAGCAATCCAGTTTATATATTTATCATGTGGAGTTAGGCACTACAACACAGTATACTAGGTGCCTTTATCTGGTTACCAGCTCATTATGCCGCTCTCGCATAAGTTATGTTCACGTATCTTACCTAGCCACGAGAAACCTGCACTGGGCAGTTGGCGGTGTACGTTAAAATGGAAACAATGTAGGTTGCACGGCGGGCTTGCTCTGTGCCACCCTGGATGCGATGTATGCATCGGATAATATAGAGACTATAGCCCTTCGATGCAAAATCGATCAAATTTATGGTGTTGAAACATATCTAGCCGCTTTAAGTTATGAACAGGTAAACCGCGCTTTCCTTATATCATTTTTTTTTCACCGAGACAACGTACCAAGGTCCTATTTTTAGTAAAACATGCAGTAACTGTCAGACATGTAGGTCTTACATTTCACTTCCTGCAAAACAATTTCGTTGTGCTTTCTGGGCAAGATCTGGTATAATCGTGCCGGAAGATAAGAAAGCTCGCATACGAATAATCACTAACATATGGCACCTACATATCTCGAAGAAATAGCACACCAGTACACGTAGTGGAGCCGCCACTTAATTTAATTCTTTAACGAAGCGGGGCAGTCGGGGGCGACCGGATGCACTACCCATCCGGCTGGGGCGACCGGATACGGAGAGACCGGATACTCGTATAGCACTGAACAAAACAGAAACCTTATAATTTACCACGCAAGCAATAAGAATTTCGGGGGCTGAGGTTAACTGTGAAATGAAAAAAAAAAAGAAGAAGTTGCGAAGGTCAGTTAGTCGGGAGAGATCAATGCTTCGACGATCACCCGTCAGGATGCCGACCACATGGGAAAAGAATGTATTGTCTTTTTATCCAGTCAAAGCGCCACTGCGCCGGTACAGTCGTGAGAAGATCAATTGTTGGACTTTTACGACCCACAACCCCGATATGATCGTGAAAATCATCGCAGTGGAGGGCTCCGGAAGGTCGACCACCTGGGATACTTTAACGTGCACCTAAGCCTTCGCACGCGAGCCTCGATCCTTTTCGCCTCCATCGAAAATGTGGATGCTACGGCCAGAATTTGATTCCGCGACCTTCGGGTAAATAATAAATCACGAAAACCACTTGTTATCGCAGCGAGTATGACTATAGGAACTCGTAGGCTCTGCTTGATTTAGCTAGAAATTGGTTTGTGGAACACTCCGAGAGTGTTCGACACTTATTCGAACCATTGTTTCGATAACTCCAGCAGTGCTGATTGGCCGACAGTGCCCGGTATCCTTAGCGTAGAGCGAGCAAGCGTGCAGCACAGCAATGGAGTCCTCCTGGTGACGTCATGGGAGATAATGATCCGGCCTATGATTCCCCTCGTTTATAAATATATAGGTCAAGTTTATTCATTAATTAGTCACAATAGCGTTTACTGTGAGATGTCAGTGCACGTTAAAGGACACCAGATGGTCAAAATTTTCAGAGTCCTCCATTGCGGCGTCTCTAATAATTATTTCGCGGCTTCGGGACGTAAGCCCCTACATTAACAACAACAACAACAACAACACAACAACAACAACAACAACAACAACCACAACAACAACAACAACACAACAACAACAACAACACAACAACAACAACACACAACAACAACAACAACAACAAAATATTATTATATTATTATTATTATTATTATTATATTATTATTATTATTATTTTATTTTATTATTATCATCATCATCATTATTATTAATTGCCACAGTGCACGATGAATCTGAACTTATTGCCGCGACATTCAAGAATTTAAACATTTAATAATGGACATGTTTCTTGAGTCAGATGCTGATGTGTTGTACAATTTTTAATGTAACTTTCACTACACAAATAGTAATGATACTCGGCGATTGGATTGTAATGTTATTAAATGTTATTGTTATTACTATAGCTATTTACCACATTATTGATGTTTGTTGTTTTTATTGCATTAGTGCTTATGTTGCTACTGTGATTACATTATTACTTAACGTTCATTACTGTCGCTACGTGATTACTATAATTGGTGATTATAAGCTTACTATAATAATGATTACGTCCTTGTTGATTCAGAATTTCCCAAGTTGACCTGTTTTCAATTTCGTTGCTTCCGCTGCCCCAGTGCTATAGGGCCTGGTCAGGAGGTTTGGATCCTCCTTTCGCCTTAGCCTGTGGGCGAAGCATGTATGCGTGTTACATTGATCCCCTTGTTACGTGGGATCTGCCAATTAAAATGGCGAATAAACAAGCTTGCACTTGAAAAAATAATACAATAAAAAAACATCTTGCCCACATTCATTAAAGCGGCACAGCCAGGTGCTCGCACCGACCATCGTTGCACGAGCACCTGGCTGGACCCATCAGCTTCTCACGAAGAGGAAAAAAAATTCCGCCATATCCACGAAGTGAATGATGATGAGTGGGCGAAGCTCCGGAGGTAAACCTGGTAAACCATGATCCTCTGTACATTTTGCCCACTCGATTTTATTACATCGCTCCCCCTAGCGTACGTCGCCGCACTAAATCGAACGAGTGCCTTCAACCATGACACGCGCCATATGTGACATCATTCCTATTTTATAAGATCTCGCGTCTTTCATCAACTACAAGTACCGCTTTCTGGTTTATAACATCTTGCATCTTTTCATCATCAGCTACAAGTACCACCATCTAGTAAACACTACAAGAACTAAACGAGAGGTGGCTACATACAGGAGACGGTACCGCCATCTTATGAACACTGCAAGAACTAAACTAGAGGTGGCTACATACAGGGGACGGTACCGCCATCTAGTGAACACTGCAAGAACTAAACTAGAGGTGGCTACATACAGGCTACAGGGGACGCACAGCCCACGCCCTAAGGAGCTTCGCCCCTAAAAAACTGATCGGCCTCTTTGGTGTTCGATTGTATCGCAGTTTTACGACTACGGTCTATTTGAATTGTAGACATGGGTTTACTCCTAAGAAATGCATTTCTTTGAGTCATTTGTGTACTTCAGTATCACTACAATATGAAGAAAATGCAATAACAAAGGTTGTGTTGCATGCGTACGTACGTAAGAAATTTGGGGCTTGTGCAACCCAAAATTTCGACCAGTGGAGCGGTCTTCGTCAGGGTTTTCGTGACCCTGAAGAAGATCGGTCCACCGGTTGAAACATCTTTTACTTACAATACGGCATTACAACTTCACATGCAAGCTTACGCACGCCTGTGTGCAACCTTCCTCCCACCCCCAACCCTTTCACGCACACACGCGAAAAAGCGAGAAAAATAAAGCGATGTAAAAAAGGTCGTCATGTGGCAATTCATTTACCTGAACGAGTTGGCTTCGCGATTTTCGCCTAAATTTAATCGCATGTGATGGTGCTCTCGAAAAAACCCTTCCAGACTTTTGAACGAGAGATTTAATAGGCTGATCCATAGGGATACAATCGCATTATATGTGATACGCACGGGGCAAGCGAAATATACGCATGTTAGCGAGGCCAGTCATAACTTTTATTCTTCAATTCGCACGCGCTCAGGGGCTGCCGCGACTACCTGAGTGCCCTGGCGCAGGTAAGCCTGTCCAATGAGCCAAGCCAGGTGTCCCTGCTGTGGGCGCTGTGGTACATCAAGTGCTGCGGAGGGAACCGTAGGATGTGCAGCACATTCAATGGAGCACAGGTAAGTCATTTCGTGGCCTCACCACAGCTGCACGCAATGGAACGATGGCCAGGCTTTCGCGGCCAAAATATGTACGCTACAGTGCCCTTGGGGTATTCCGTGGAGATTTCACAATTTATATGAAGAGCACCTATAAGGCCGGATTCTGTAGAGGAAAAATCTGCTAAAAATATTTTTGCAGGCCAGCTACTATATCACCGAGTATAAATACGGCAGCGTTTTGCCTGAAAGCTCGTTGTATGTATTTGATGTGGCCTAACCCTGTCACATTGTGTGTCGGAATATTCCGTGGCTGTACTTTTGTGCAGCCACGGAATGATCCTCTTTTGTATATTTTTCTATAACTGTACGTGTCGTTGGTAGAAAAAGTTCTTACGACGCTGAAGTTTGTGATGTATATGGTATAGCCTTCGTCAAGTGTATGCTACCATGACAATCATTGGTCACTACTGTGTAAACCTTAACTAACTTACCTGTTGGATTGTTCCTCTGTTAAAACTGCTCGTTGTGTTCTCTTCCTTGATTTTATTTTGTAGTGCTTGTGTCAACAAGTGAAGTGTACTTCTTTACCCCAATCTGTAACGGCCTTTGGCTAACAGTATAAATAAATAAGTAAATAAATAAATAAATAAATAAATAAATAAATAAATAAATAAATAAATAAAACATTAATAAATAAATAAATAAAGTTTATAAATTTTATACGACTGAACTTCGTATATGTTTGGGTGTGTAACCAGTACCTAAAGTCGAGTAATGAATTTTTATGAGTACACAAGGTAGAGTACTTAAATTGTCCACACTCTAAGGCATTCGATAGTTTAGCTTTATGACAATTCTGCTCCTTCGGGCATAATTACTGCTGCACAATAAGTTTATTATTAGGAATGCCACAGCGCGGATCTCTCTCGGTTGCGATTGATCATCTGAGATAACTAACTTAACGCGCAACCAAGGCACATTATGCAAGTGCCATTACAACATGCCCTACACGATATCGCGAGATACGTCGTCTCAGTAATTTTTGTTTTTGCTGCTTCATGCAGGAAAGGAAGTTTGAAAATGGTGCCATGACAGTTTGTGAAAGGCTCCTGCAGCTGCTGGAAGGTATTTATCTGTTTCCTTCTCATTACACAGATACGCCATATGCAATAACATTATTCAGCTGGAACAACTAGATGCTAAAAAATGAACAAGAAATGACATTCAGAGAACAGCTGCGCAGTGCGACGAGCGATTCGCTGCTGTCATAAAGTATACATAAAGTATACATAAAGTATACATAAGTATGCGAGTTCGTATGACTTGAGTATGAAACATTCGTAACTGATCGCTAAGCTCGCAGTCGCTGTCGCGTTATTTCCGATTGATCTCGTTGTAACATAATCACTTATTGTTGATTAATATCTACACTTGAACATGTCCACGTCACACAAATTTACAGTTCGTAGATGACTTGTGCGTCGAACACGACAGCCTACCCGAATCATGATAGCTTTATTTTACTTATAAGTTCATCTTACGACTCGCTTAACTTTCGACTTTACTTTCTTATATTTACTTCTTTGGGGGGATGGAGGGGCGGGGGGGGTGGGAGGAGTGGCACGCAAGTTTGGTTGCACTTTGTCGAATTCAAGGTATACTTGTGCAATGACATGCAGGACTAGAAAGGGAGAATCAACGTGCACAATGAGTGCCCCTCTATTTCAACCCACCCCTTACGCACTCTTCTCTTAATTATGCCTTTCATCTCACTTACTAAGCATAATTAACACACGCGTAATTTCACCGTTGCCGCTTTTGTGCCTCTGGTTTGTTTCAGGTAGGGTTGAGTTCAACGCCCAAGCATGCGCCCTTCAGCAAGACGAGAATGGCGTCGTCGTGGGTGTGATCGACGGCAGGGAGTTCCAGGCAAGTTTAACAGCGACCCCACCAAAGGCTACATTCTCGAAACACCATTGTTAAGAACAAGTTCTTGACGCAATGGTCAACACGCATTCTTGAACTATTATAAAAGGTCTGAACATTGTCTTCATTCTAAATCCAGCTTTTTAGACTGCCCGTTGCTTTGGCAGGGAGTATACTTCGAAAGCATTCAAAAAATGGCTTAATTTGTGCTTGAGCCTTCGGAGAGGCGCTTTTTTTTTAAATTTCAGATCATGTTCTCCATGCAGTGATGTGGCTTCTCGCTTAGTGTAACCTAACCTATAGTCTAACAATATTGCAGGCTGATTACGTCATAATGGCAATCCCGCCGCCCCTACAGCTGAAAATTCATTACGAGCCTCCGCTGTCGCCACTGCGAAACCAGCTCATACAACGTACGCCAGTTGGCTCGGCGTTCAAGATGAACATTTATTACCCCAAGCCCTTCTGGAGGGAAGCAGGTATGCACAGACACGTTAGAATAAACCATTACTATGTTGTCGCTTTTCAGAATAAAGTTTCATTGGCATTGAATAAATGATATGTGGTGCCAACATGAACAAGATTCCGGCGCGTACAACAATGCGAGTACAATACACGAACTGTTGAAAGGTACGTAGATACATGCCCAGCGCAATGGTGCACCAATACTGCCGTCATCAACATGTCCCAAGTACGAACATTACTCAAGGTTTAGAGTGAAGGTACAATATTAAAAGTGAAGATCTAGCATATGGTTAGGGTTAACATGTAAAAAAGTTCAATATGTAAATAATGAAGGTTCTCTTTCAACTAAAGGTGTAAACGTTTTGTTCCATTCCGTGTATGTACACGTGTTCACTTACACAAAATGTGACAATTTCGGTGATGAGGGTGGGGGGGGGGGGACGTTGAGCGTGGCAGTCAAATCCTACAAGCCACCCTCCTGGGTAGCGCCACTGGTGCGAGACGCCAGCAGTAAACGTCTGTGGTCGTTACTTTCTAGCTCTGCAACTAAGCAACGTAGTCTGAATGCAGAGCTATATATTAAGGCAGGGTTAACGTTCAAACGGGGCTATCTTTTGAAGAGGAGAATTTGTCAGAACACAACCATGAATCCTCACGTAACACTGACTGCCCCTTCACCTGTTTCAAAGGTTGCTCGTTTCCTTCTAATAAGGGAATGAACTCTTGACACGCATTGTTCGCATTATACTAATGAAAATTGCGAAAAGTGAGGGTGAGCTAGCAGTGGACACAACATATCTTAAATTAGTTCGACTGATAGCACGAGGAACGCGGAAACGTATAGCCGGACATGTCAAAATTACGTGCACTGTCAAAGGAAACATCAGCTTTGTGTACTATCTCCTTTGCATTTGACAGGTTATGGTGGAATAGCATCCTGTGCCGACGACAGCCTAGCTTTCAACATTACCACAGACGACTGCAGACCTGGATTATCCCTGGCGGCCCTCACAATGTAAGGTCAACTATCCTTCTGATTTCGATGGCAATGACATAACGCATAGGAATCACAAAACCTTTCATGTGCCATGAGAGTTCTTTCTCGCGATTACGTTTTGCTTTCAGTGACTGTCACAAAACGAGCGCTCAAAAGGGGCGCGCCGCCAAATTCTCGCGACAAAACGCCGGAGTGACGCCGCGAGATCAACGATAAAAAAAGAAAACAAGCATCTAAAGACTCCCCGGGCGCGCGTCCTTCTCCCCTCGGAAGCGTGCGTTCGCCGACGAACCTCCTCTCATCGGCGCCCGAGCAAGCCCTCGAATATTCTAGATGGAAAGGGGCGTGGTGATGCCGGGTTGCGTCATCCGTCGCGGACGGCCTTCGAACCGTCTCGCCCTTTACCCCAGCCTTCGCTGCGCATCGCGCCGACGAAATGATGAGAACTTTCTGGAATCTCGCGCGGAAGGTATTTAATCGAGCAACCGAGATGAGAGATCAGGAGAAGACGGAAGTTAGCGCCAGAGCGCGTAGGGATTCCGCCGTGTAGTGGCGAAGGTTTTGTCCGTAGTGACAAAGCAGGAGAAGAAGAGGATTTCCACCTGAGGGGTGAAGGCTCGAGCTACAGGCAAGAGCGTGTGTCTACCGCTATCAAGCGAAGACACGTGGCAACAGCTGCGTGTGTGAAGTCGACGTGTTTCCGGCGAAGAAGTTTGAAGCTTGGAGAGTGGCCAATTGAAGACGCGAGGTTTCCTGGAAGAGAAACTTTGGGGGTGAAGACGCGAGGTTTCACTGAGCAACACGGATACAGAACGTGAAAGGATGGCCGTGATTCCATACATACACCAGATATCACACAGGCTCAAAAAAATCGGAAAACGTGTTGGAGTTCGTGTCCTGTTCTCGGCACCGTTCAAATTAATCAGCCTCAGCAAATCTACAAACCCCCTGAAAACGCAATCATCAACGGAATGCAGAGTTCAACATAGAAACAGGTATGCGGCCTGCTCCCGGGAAGTTGTCTATAGGACCCCCCTTTCATGCGGTGCTTGTTATGTCGGAACGACCGGAAGGTGTCTGAACGATCGGCTGAGAGAACACGCGAACAATGTTAAAAACGGGAAAGATGGTTTTCTTGCTCAGCACTGCACTGAGTGCAATTGTGTTCCCCTCTTCAAGGAGACAGCGACGCTGTACAAACACAGAGATGAAAGCACCCGAGTCATTGTCGAGGCCCCTGATGCGCCGAGAAATGCCGCTGAAGCTCCTCTTCTTCACTACAATCGCCCTCCGCACAAAAAGACGCCATCCTGGCGGATTAGGGAGAAGAAACGACTAATGGGTCGTAATATGGCTTGAGACGAGAGACGTGGACAGTGTCGCGGCCGCGGTAGCGTAGGTCTGTGGATGGGATGATGGGCTCCACGATATAGTTGACGAGTGACGTTTGCTCTACAACGCGGTATGGCCCGATGTATTTGGGAAGAAGTTTTGCGGAGCGGCCAGGCGCGGTAGCAGGTGCCCGAAGCCATACTAATGAACCAGGTGGAAAGTTTGGAGCCGAACGGTCCCCAGTCTGGCGGGATTGCTGCTGCCACTGGTCCTCGGTAGAAAAAGAGCGGGCAAGCTGGCGGCATTCTTCAGCATGTCGGGCAGCTTCGGACAGAGTTGTACTTTCGGACTCATAAGGTTTATATGGAAGAATAGTATCTACTGTATTTGAAGGTTCTCGTCCGTACAAAAGAAAGTATGGCGAAAACCCAGTAGTAGCTTGTACGGCAGTATTATACGCGTAGGTGACGAACGGGAGAACTTGGTCCCAATTTGAATGATCAGAGGCGACGTACATCGACAGCATACTGCCAAGAGTACGGATGAAGCGCTCCGCCATGCCATTTGTTTGAGGATGGTACGCTGTACTCTTGCGGTGCACGATTCGGCATTCGTTGAGTAATGCCTTCAAGGCGTCAGAAAGGAAGGCACGGCCTCTGTCACTTAAGAGCTCGCGAGGGCACCATGACGCAGAACGAAACGTGTGCAACAGAAACGTTCCAAAGTCACGGGATGTGGCAGTCGGCAGCGCGGCTGTTTCGGCATAGCGTGTCAGATGGTCTAATCGCAACGAATAATCCAGCGATTACCAGCTAGAGTTGATGGTAGTGGTCCGTAAATGTCAATGCCGACGCGATCAAAGGTCGACTAGGACAAGGAAGAGGTTGTGACGGGTAGACTTGCCCGGGAGGTAACTTTTGTCGTTGGCACTGAGCACACGAGCGAATGAATTTCGGCACGTAGTTATACATGCCACGCCAATAAAATCTGAGTCGAAGCCTAGCGTATGTCTTGAAGAGGCCGGCGTGGGCGCACTGTGGGTCACGGTGAAAAGCTTCGCAGGATGGCAGCTCGAAGATGGCGGGGGTATCACAAGGAGACACTTGCGACCGTCAGAAAGGTAGTTGCGTCGATAAGAAGATCATCCCTTAGGCAAAGTTGCTAGCTGGCGGCGGAGAGCGCGAGAGGCGAAGGAGTGAGAGGATCAGAAAGAATGCTTAATGAGGCCACTGATCCAGGGATCCTTTCGTTGTTCCACAGTCATGTTGCGCAAGGCTGGATGACGCAAGTGCAGGCTCGAGGAAGAAGGCAACACTCTTCATCCGATATGGGTGAGCGAGAAAGGGCGTGGCGTCTGTAGGCTTCCGACCAGATCTGTAAATAACGCGGATGTCCGTATTCATGAAGTTTGAGCGCCCAGCGAGCAAGTCGTCCGGAAGGGTCTTTAAGTGTGGATAGCCAACAAAGGCGTGGTGGTCAGTGACGACGTCGTATGCGTGACCATACAGGTAGGGGCGAAATTTTTCCAAGGGCCCAAATAATAGCTAAACACTCTTTTTCGGTCACGGAGTAGTTAGCCTCGGCTTTCGTCAAAGTTCGGCTTGCGTAAGCGACGACATATTCATGAAACCCTGCCTTTCGTTGCGCGAGCACAGCGCCAAGTCCAACACCGCTGGCATCAGTATGAACCTCCGTGGGAGCGGCAGGATCGTAGTGGCGGAGGATGGGTGGTGAAGTCAGCAGGTGGCGTAATTTGGTGAATGCATCGTCGCATGCTGGTGACCAGGTGGAAAGGTCCTTGTCGCCGCTAAGAAGGTCCGTAAGGGGCGCACATACGGAAGCAAAATTTCTAATAAAGCGTCGGAAGTATGACGACAAGCCGACAAAACTTCTAAGTTCCTTCAAGTTCTTTGGCTTCGGAAAATCGGCGACTGCTCGAAGCTTGGCGGGGTCGGGAAGTATGCCGTCCCGCGATACGACGTGGCCAAGAATGGTGAGCTGCCGAGCACCAAAACGACACTTCTTGAGGTTGAGTTGAAGGCCGGCGTCGGTGAGACGTGTGAGGACGTGCTCGAGACGATTTAAATGGGTGTCGAAATCGGTGGAAAAGACAACTACGTCATCGAGGTAGCATAAACATGTGTTCCACTTGAGGCCTCGTAAAATAGTGTCCATCATTCTTTCGAAAGTGGCTGGAGCGTTACAAAGGCCGAAAGGCATAACGGTAAACTCGTATAACCCATCAGGTGTGACAAATGCTGTTTTCGGTCGGTCAGATGCTTCCATAGGAACTTGCCAGTATCCAGACCGTAAATCCAGCGAAGAGAAGTATTCTGCTCCCTGCAAACAGTCAAGGGCGTCGTCTATTCGCGGTAACGGGTAAACGTCCTTGCGGGTGATCTTGTTTAAACGTCGATAGTCCACACAGAACCGAATGGAGCCGTCCTTCTTAACAAGAACGACCGGTGACGCCCAGGGACTGTTAGAAGGCTGTACAATACCCCGCTGGAGCATGTCAGCAACCTGGTCGTCAATAACACGGCGCTCCGACGCTGAGACTCGGTAGGGGCGCTGCCGTAGAGGCGTATGGCTTCCTGTGTCATTCTTGTGAGATATGTTCGATGTGCGACTGAGGCCAGAAGCGTGGCTGTCAAAAGAAGTACGAAACTTTTGCAGCAGGTTCACTAACTGGCTTCGGTTCTGAAGAAGGACGTTGCGACATCGATGGAGCGGTGGAAAGCGTCAAGGAGTGACTGGTCAACAACAGAGTCAGAAATGAGTGCGCTGAGGTCCTTAGAAAGTAAAACTAGATGGAGCGTCAAAAATGTGACGGGCGTCGATCGGATGCACGTGACCGAGACATTCACCATAGAATAAAGGTAAAGGCCCTTCTAGCGTATTGTACACGAGCGTCTTCGTGACGCCATGGTGGAGAGTAAGGAGAGCAATGGGCAGGTGGAGAACATTTGCGTTGAATGAACAGGCAGAGGGCGTAAATAAAACATCACCGTCGGAAATAGCGTCACACGACCAGTCACCAGCAGAGAAAGCGCGGTGGGTACGGTGGTGTCGTCGGAAACAAAAGAGTTTATAACACGCAGGGAGGCTTCGACAGCGTCAACATCAGGAAGTGCAGATAGCTCAAGGTCAGCGCGACAGCAGTCAATGACGCATTATTATTCGCAAGGAATCACTCTCAGCCGAGTATCATGTCATGGGAACACGAGGGCAGCACTACGAATTCGACGATATACACAATCCCTTCGATGACGACTCGTGTGGTGCAGGCTGCGAGAGGTGTTACACTTTGTGCGTTAGCCGTGTCTAAGAGAGAGGCCGGATAATGGCGTCAGAACTTTGCGGACGTTTTGCGGCACAGGTTTGATGAAAGGACGGATAGAGCGGCTTCACGGTGTCAACAAGCGCCATGACTACGATACCATCGACTGACACTTCATGACGTTAGCTGGACAGGGGGCGAGGACTTTGTGCTTGGCGACGGTGACGCAGTTCGTGCCTCGGGAACTGCGCCGTTAGTTTTCCTGGTCGGTGGGTCCGGAACGGCGACGCATAGGGGAAAGCGAACGTCGACGTGGAGATGGGGAGCGGCGGGTCGGGCCGTGTGGACGATCAGAAGGAAAGGAAGAGGAAGGAGGGCTTGAACGTTCGTAGAAGAAAACTGAGGGTCGTATAAGCGGGCATTTCGTCTCGAATGTTCTGAAGCACGCCTGGCGACGACGACAATAACCGTGCCACGTGGCCAACGACCAACCACAAGCAAAAACATATGGACGGTTGTAGTAGGTCCGCCATTGGTCGGAGTACGACTTCCGACTTGCGGCTGGGGGCAAGCAAACTGCGGACGAGGTGGTATTCGGCATAGGCGGCGGTGTACATAGGTCGGCGGGGCAAAAGGGCGCTGGCCGAATTTAGCATTAGGCGCATGGCTGGAACGCAGGCTGTACGAGGTACGCGCAACGGGCCTCGGCGTAACGTCGAGAGGTGCTGGCGCTGGGGGCGGTTCACGGGCGGGAGGAAGCAACTTGTGCGACCTGGTCTGAATGAAGTCGCGGAGTGTAGTATGTCAATCTGCGTGGTGATCGGGTACGCAGGACTCACAGAGAGCTGACGAGCGACTCATCGCGTAATGAACTCTTGGATCTTGAGAGAAGAGGGGGCATGGTCTTCTCCTATGCCAAGGGTGGAAAGGCTGGACAAGAGATCGTCGAGCCACCGAGGGACGTCGGTGGAAAGACGTTGCCTGCGCAACTCGTCAAAACTCTGGCATACTCGGATCAGTTCTAAGGAACAGTGCGAGGACTCTTAGAAAGCACATTTGGTAAAAGCGTCGTCCTCAATGCCCTTTCAATATGTGCTTGATCTTAAGCTCTTCGGACATCGACTCGTTGACTCCGCTTGCAAAGGTCCAGAACGTCTCAATAGGCTTGTGAAATTCTCTCCAAGCTGCTGGGACCGAGTATGTAAGCGTTGTCGGCACGGCGTTTGCGTACCTCAGGCCGCCCGAAAACTTGTGTGAGGCTCGTTTTGAAGACCGACCATGTAGGGAGTTCCGCTTCGTGGTTTATAAACCACAGCTTGGCCACGTCCGACAGGTAGAAGGAGACGTAGGCCAACTTGGCGGCGTCATCCCATTTGTTGTGAGTACTCACTCGCTCGTACATTGAAATCCAGTCGTCAACGTCCTTGTCTTCTGTGCCTGAGAAAACAGGGGGATCTCGCAGACGCAGAGAACCGGCGCAGAGAACAGTAGGCGGTGCCGGTGGAGGAGTTGGAGCGGCGCTTGCGTCGGTAGGCATAATGGATGGTAAAATGCGATTCCGAAGCTCCAGGGTGATCGAAACCCAGCAGAATCCACCACTTGTAACGGGGTTTATTTGCAGCGCAGAACGCAGAAAGCGAAGCAGTCAGCAGCGTCCGGCCAAGCGCAGCAAGCACGAGCTTATGCTGATGGCGATGCCCCTGATGCGCCGAGAAATGCCGCTGAAGCTCCTCTTCTTCACTACAATTGGAATAAACATGCCATGTGAGCCAGAAGTGTGGAAGCTTGGACTAGTTGGTATGGCATGATGATAGTTACAGCACGAGAACAAAACGACGACGCAGAGACAAGAAGGACCTTCGTGATCTTCGTGTCGTTCTTGTATCTGTGTCGTCGTTTTGTTCTCGCGCTATAATTATTGTATGAGCCAGGCCACGTTGCTCATTTACCTCATCATAGCATCGCATGAGTCGACAGGGTGAAGACCTGACAACCCCTTCATCAATCGGCCATTATCATCGAACACCTCAGCAAGACGCAGTGACGGAACGTGGGCCACCATAGCTCATCCCAGCTCACACCATCACGAGCATCATAATAGCACCATCAGCTTACCTTGACATCCCCGGGTACACCAGATCAGTGGACGACGGACCCGTACAGGACTGGTTCAACCTATTCGAGCTCCACGCTGCCGCTGCATCCTGGTTGGAACGGGAGATGGTCATAAACTTCACCTACTACGTCACCGATGTGGCATCCAAATTTTACCTCACCCACATCTTCGAGAACGATGAGTCTTGGAAAAAGATAATAAAAGGAATGATCACCCGTTTCAAAGGGTACGATAAAGATCTGTCCACACCGCATCAGCGCAAGGTTTTTCAACTCACCCATTACAGTTGAACGAAGTCTTCCCGCACTAAGCCTATTTTCCAAACAAGACTCAGGGAAAATATACCACCATTGTGCTGTCATATGAGTCTTCCAAAAAAAAAGTTACTCATTCGAACACTAACTGGTGACTTGCACGTCGTAACAACAAGGGAAAGCCTCCGTATACCGAAAGGAATCTAGAGCATTTCGCCAAAAGACTGAACCTAAAGCCGGCTTTCCCAAGAGAAATAAAATTGGCATTTTTAACGTGTTCCCTGCACCAAAACACTTGAGATGTTACTGAATCACCCGAATCACCTAATGCTTCGTGTCACACAAAAGACCCAGATGGTTCCGAATGTGTGATGGCATTTACGCGCGACGAGCTGGTGAATCTTCAGAATACCAGCCCACACCCTGACATTCTTGACCAGAGTCCTTCAACAGACATTCTCAGCCTAATCACGTTGCAAAAGAAAAAAAAAACATACGCCATCAGAACCACCTGAAGCCATGTCTGTTGTGCTCTCATCGTCAAGCGATATCACACATGCGAGTCAAAGCACTGCAGAAATTCCGAATCCACCAACACCAGCGCATTGTCAACTGACATAAGCATTTACAATCAACGATGACTCACAACCATCTAAAGAGCTTTCTCATCAGTCTGTCACGGTGCTTTCATCGCAAGACAAGCCCAGCAGTAGAGTATCGACTATCGACAATCTACTGATCACATCATCGCGCAAAGAAAAGGAGACTCGTGTTCCTGAAAGATACTCATCTGACCAACTTTCGCAACAAAACGAGCAATTTCAACAAAGGCAACTCCCCGAGCCCGAGGCACAACAACGTTTACTCGAACAAAAGAGCGAACAAGCGAAACCTCATCACGAGTACACTTGTGGCTTAATCGGAGACAACACCAATTGAAGAAGCAAAGACAAAGTCAATGCCTAATTTATCTTAACAGGAAGCAACGTCGACAAAGTTTTCTGCACCAGTTCTCTAGGCCATGTCTACGATTCAACCAAGTGAGAGAAGGCCACAGAAAGCTACGAAAGAGACATGCAGCTACCACGTGTACAGTGAAGGAACACAGGCATTGTATCATCAGCTTCGGTTCTCGCACATGCAGGCTGCAAGCACTCCTTCTGTCTCAGCCACGACACAGAAAGCAGCGTCTACGACGGAAAACTCGGTACCTACGACATCCCACCCTCGAATGCTACAAGGACTTCCAACTTTGTTCGTTCCTCATTACTAACCAGGCTGTGTCATTATTTTCCACGCTGAAGGCATAGTTATGCTCTCCAGAACGCAAGAGCCAACCTCGCCTACCTGAGGTCTCCTAGATATCACCAGACTGCCTTTCCTGTGAACGTTTTTGTGCAAGTGCATGGAACCGCCGTGTGACTTGGAACTAATGCATTTTCTGGCGTTATTTTTTATTGTGAGACTCCACTTGTTCATGCTTTATAGATTGTAGCTTGCGCGTTCTTTCGGGGGGAGGGGGAATCATGTGACGTATGAAGTCATGGTAGGAGAAGCCGAGGAAGAAGAAGTGCTTAATGAAATTGTGGCCAATAAACGTCTTAACAGAATAAACATTACGTGTGAGCCAGGCCACGTCGCCCATCCATGTTATCATAACGTCACACACACACACACACACACACACACACACACACACACACACATATATATATATATATTATATATATATATATATATATATATATATAATATATATATATATATATATATTATATATATATATATATATATATATATTGTGGACATTTGTTACTTGCATTGTCCTCATCCCTGCATGATCGCAATCACCATCATCCGCTTGTCTCTTTGTCCTCATTGCCACTCTGGTTCATCATCATCGTCATCGTCTGTGTACTGGCTCTGCCCGTTCGTTTTGCGAGGTCTTTCCTCAATTAAACGCTGTCGCAACCCAGACTACCAAGACTTCATACGTGGTGGAGGTGGATTTTCGGTCCTCTTACCTCCCGCAGCCCGCTCTACCCGCTGGAGCTTCGTTCAGGCCGCCGATTGCGCCCACTGTCAGGCAGCATGTCCCAGACCGAGCCTACCGGCGCTCATGTCATCAACCATGCACCGACGCAAGCTGCCCCTCCTATTTACATACACGGACATCAGCGGGAACCCCCGCTCTTCGCTGGTCGTCGTGGAGAAGACGTAGAAGACTGGCTCGACGACTACGACCGCGTAAGTGTCGCTAATCGGTGGGACGAGGCCGCCAAACTGCGTTACGTCCCATTTTATCTGACCGGAGTCGCAAAGACATGGTATTTTAACCACGTCATTGACTTACCCGACTGGGCTACCTTCCAGCAGCAGCTGCGACACGTTTTTGGCACCCCGGACATTCGATCCGCCGTCGCGAAGAGGACACTTGATACTCGCCGACAACATCCCGGTGAATCGTACACATCATACATCGAGGATGTCCTCGCACTGTGCCGGCGTGTCAATCAATCCATGCCGGAATCGGACAAAGTGCGCCACGTATTGAAAGGCATTGGGCCTGTTGCCTTTAATGCACTCGCTGTGCAAAACCCAGCTACCATCGCTGATGTCGTGACGACATGCCAGCGCCTTGATGCGCTGGACTCCGTTCGCCTCCAACCAGACATTGGCGACCACCACTCCACGTCAGATGGCCACCTGCGCGACCTCATCCGGGACATTATACGCGAAGAATTGCGGTCCATGGGCTTCACACCTCCTACACCACGACCTACACAGCCTTCGGGAATGCCCTTACGTGACATCATCAGGGAGGAACTTACATCCCTGACTGGCTCTGCGCCCGTACAGCCACATGCTTTACGCCCCATACCCACGTACCCTGAAGTTGCTGCCGTGCCTCCCAGCGACGCCCACGCGACATTGCCGCGTCCATCCTACGCGTCAGTTGCTGCCGCTCCCCCGGTCAACTACCATTCCGTACCCCCTGACCCTCCGGCCCACCTGACCGCGCTATCTACAGGTGCCCCGAATGTCTTCTATTCCCCACCGTGGCGCTCGTCTCGCCCTGTTTGCTACTACTGTGGCTATCGCGGCCACATATCTCGTTTCTGCCGAAAGCGCCAGCAAGATGAGCGTCGGAACGACGTGCGTGAACGGGATTTGTACGCCGGGGCGTCTTATCAAGGTCGGCGTTATTCGTCTCCCCCGCACCGTTCTCCATCTCCTCCTGCATCGACTGCACCACGAAACAGCCGAAACACGAGACGCCGCTCGCCTTCGCCCTTCCGCCGTTCCACTTCTCCACTTCGGCCCGCCTCATTCACCTCTGAAATTCATTCGGAAAACTAAGTGATGCAGTTTGTGGAGGAAAAACTGCATTCGGAATCAGAACTGAAATTCCTCCATCGGGCCCGTGTAACATGGTTTCTGTGGAAGTGGAAGGAGTGCGAGTCGATGCTTTGGTGGACACAGGTGCGACATTGTCTGTGATACGTGCTGATTTGTGTGAACATTTAAGGAAAGTAATGACACCTTACGATGGCCCCACATTAGTTGCTGCCCAGGGGAACGTCATTCGCCCTTCCGCGTTTTCTACTGTGCGTGTTTTCATCGACGGCATCCGCCATCATGTCCAGTTTGCTGTCCTGTCCCGCTGCTCTCACCAACTAATTTTAGGGTGGGATTTTCTATCATCTGCTTCCGCGGCGATTTGTTGTGGACAACGCGTCGTTCACCTCGCTGACACGGACTACATGCTTGACGACGACAATCAGAAGCCACTTCGTCTGGTCGCTGCGAAAGACATCGAACTGCCGCCACTACAAGAGCAAATTGTCAGCATTACGTCCAACGACATCTATCACGGGGATGTATTGGTCTCACCGTCACCACTTTGCGTTCGCAAAGGTATAGTTCTTCCGTCCGGTGTCGTTCGTTTTTGCAATGGCTCGGCACTTGTCACCGCTGTCAACTCTACACCGGAGAAGATCTTACTGCCACAGGGCACTACTGTGGCCCATGTTGCTGACTTCGAGCCTGTATTTGTCACGCCACTTCAGGCCATCGCATCCAAAGAGCCTTGCCTCGGTGAGCATGTTTCTTCCTCCGCCTTTACCACCACTATCAGCAGCGAATTGACATATTCACAGAGGCAGCAGCTGCTCGCATTGTTACAGAAACATGCAAATTCTTTCGACATTTGCTCGTCTAAGCTGGGCCGCACTAATACTACAGACCACAGTCGCTTCACAGGCAATGCGACGCTTTGATCGAAAAAGCGGGTGTTTGGTATGGTGGGGTCTCGAAATGGCGAGCGCCGTGCTCTTGGAGGGAACGAACACAGCAGACACAGTCGGTCCCAAACTTCACAACACATATGTTTACTTAACTACTTTGAAACGACGATATCTTCCGCCGAGTTATTATAACATCAATCGTGATCAACACGCTAGGACATCCTTACACAATATTACCATACACTTCAAAACATGACAAACACAATAACGGCGTCGCCAACGCTTGACTTACCACGAGGGCCCCCGACGCGCAACCCGCGGTGCCGCGCGCCGGGGACCCACACTAGAGACCACCGTTCGCGGCAACCGCCACGCGCAGAAGAGACCAGCCTATTTCTCGCTCGCCGCTGCCAAGGCTTTCCGCCAAGCGTGGCCGCCAGCGCTAACGTTTTTCTAACCATGATGATGATGATAGTGGTGGTCAACTCTCGTAAACACAACGCCACCTACCGCTCAATAGCCACGACCTCGCAATACGGCTTCTGCGTGAGACGTGTGCGCCGCGGGGTGGAAACAACTTTACTGGGGAGTGTCAGTACCCCCACAACGGTAAAACTAGATATTAGAAACTAGCTAAAATGGCAAGGCGTTGCCACGTATACTAGCTGCTCTGTCTTCTAAAAAAATAAAACTTTTGTTTCCTCCGATTACTCCCAAATGGCCCTGTCATATTTCACGCAGCGCCTCCAGACAGAAGATTTCGACGTCTTTCGCATTGAAGCGTACAGATACGCAGCCATTTTGTTCTTCTTGCTGCCTTGGTGAAACGCGTGCAAAGTACGCATTGAGTCTGCCAAATTTTTGAGTCTGGTCCACTGGTTTATTCTTTGAGATGAGATGAATGTCATCCCAAGAGCTCTTCACAAGCGAAGAATATTAAGACTGATGATCATGTGAAATTGTGTTTTTCAAAGAAAAAAAAGGTGTGACTGATGTACTTACACACTAACGTTTAATAAAATATGTTTTTGCCTCGTACCGGGCACGAGAAACGGACGCGGCCCAGGTTTTAGAACCTTCGTTTCCGAAAATGTCCTTCCGCAATCAAGCGGGTGAAGTCCCCAACCAGGTGCGTTGAACGTCGTGTCCAAGACCGACTCCACTTATCCGACAATATTCCAAGCAATTATCTTTCACACATCCGCAGCTAAAAGTTAATGAGTTGTGTTTCTGCACTGAAAAGGTGCAATGACGCCTCATTGGACCGCATATTACACGGGCTATTACATGGCTTATAAAATGGTATAGTGCAGTGACCTAGAATACTAGTTAAGAGTTCCACATAGAGCAAGACATGAACCTAGAATACTATAGGTCCCACTAATCGTGTCTTGCGCTGTTTAGGATTCTACTTGCGCAAAAAAAGAAAGAAAAAAACTACATGCGCACTACATCCCTGTTGTAGTTCTCTGGCACCCGTGTAGGACATACGTAATGTGGCGCAACACTTAATCCAAAGTCCATTGCCGTCCGTCTATCGACGTAGCCAAGATATATGATGACGATTACGTGTAATTAAATTAACAAGTGCACAATAAGTGTCCACGAAAATGCATGGCTAAGGTAGAAGGTAATTGGGGCTACATCAACAGGCCCTTGTCCTTTCACGAGCCCCGGGCCTTTGCGACTGTAGTTGATATAGCGTTGCTGAGCGTGTTTGCACAATGCACCACATTGCAGCCGGAAAAGCACGGCCGATGCCCTCACTTCTTTATCTATGCGGAAGCATGTGTGGTGTGCCCATGCAGCACTTCGATTAATTGTAAATTTGATATGATCTGATACTTACCACTTACGTGTGGGTACGTGAGCCAATAAAGAATTAATAAAATTAGGTAAAAATGTTAACAAATTAGTTACCGAAGCTTATAAATGTCACGTACTTTTCACTGATCAGTGAGCTTAACATACAGACTTCGAAAATTCGCTGGTACCCTGTTTTCAAGCTCAAAAAATTCGCGGTCTTAAACCAGTAATAACCATGAGCTTATGGTAAGTGATCTTTTTTTCCCCTCACAACCAGGTCCTATGTGCGATGAAGATTCTACGGAAAGATGAAATCTGGGAGGAAGAACCAGAATTTAAGGTGGGTATACATTATTTGCCTCAGTTATGAGACAATGATACACGAAAGCACGCGGTCTAAAATTTGTTTGTCGGAATCGTGTATATATGAATGTTATTTACATAATATCGACGCGAGTAGATTGAGTCCACGCGCGTTCAAGCCGAGTCACCATTCGAGTGGACGAGTCCAACCCGACGGCGTTCTTATGGGACCGGCCGCATAGCTTTACTACGGGAAGTTCCTACTGACCAGTGAAAAATAGTGCGCATTTATCTTCAGAGTTTGGACATTTTATTTTCTGCCTCGTAATATTTTCAGCCCCTCGGTCACCGCTGAAAGCAGGTGCTGTAGGTAGGCAGTGCTCACCGAGCAATTAACCTTTTGCTCGAAACTGTGCTGCATTAAGTGAATTAAGGAACGATTTCCTACTGTGCTAATGAAACATATATGGGTGATTTAGTCTTCTTTTACTTGCAATTGCGAATGGGCGGAGCTGTGTGTGGCAAAAGGGGCTAGCTATTCCTTGGCTCTCTCGCCAGAAAATGCTTCAAGTGAAGAATTCTAAGCTCATTAGGAGCAGGCAACTGCATCTACATGACATTGCAATATCAGCGTCTCGACGATGGCACAGCCAATAGTTGCAGTTCCCTACAGGATGTTTTTCGAATGTGATGTCAGATTGTGGGACGCGACTGGTGCGCTTATGCGAGGACCTGATAGGTCCTTCCCTTTGGAATAAACATTCAAAAATAAAAACGACATGAGAGAGTGTTCGAAAACTCTATATACTACCCGCCTGGATCAGCCCTTGGATGCAATACGCTCATTGCATTGCATAATATTGCATATTATTGCATTATTGCTTATTGGTATCAAAACAGAAAAATTGTCTATACGTTATTTTTTACGGTTATAACCGCAATTTTAAGCGAACAAAGGCTGCTTTCAAACTTGTCATCCGTGGCAATGTCAAAGAGCCGCCCACTTGGCGATGACGTATATACTCGAACTCACGGGGCACTGTTTATCGCATGTTCCAGGGTGTGGAGGCGCGGCCATTCGAGATGTCCTTCTTGGAGCGGCATCCCCCTCACGTGCTCCTTGTCGGGGCTACGGGAGCCGTTGCCGCATCCAGCGTTGCTTGTGTGGTGGGCTACTGCGTATGGAAAGCAGTCACCGCCATGCGGAGCTCATAGACCATCCAGCTGAGAAGCATTCTCAAATGCGTACGGGTTCTTCCTCAGAAGGGCCTTATCCACAGATGGCGAATTCACCGCTGAATATGCACTACCGCAGAGCATTAGACCTCAGCAATAGTACGCACGTCACCGCAACAGTCTATTAATAAGGCTCTCAAAAGTACTCTCTTGTTCGAGTCAGATTTGCGATGCCACTCTGACGTCAGAGGCGCATGGATGGATACGAGGTGGCGTCTAACGTGCGACGGGTCTGACGTAGCTTCTCATGCTGCTGAAATTTCGAGGTACCGGTAAAAGAGTTCTTCGACGTGGTTGCTGGTACCGCTGACGGCGTACCAGACCTAGTGCAGCGTCGCCCCGCGTGAAAGAGAAGGCTCGACCACACGCTTGCCGGTTTACTACCCTACGCAAATGACGCCACTGACAAAATCTCAAAGCTGCTTCCGAAAAGACGCCTTGTTCTTCGTGGAACAGAGGGTACGAAAATTTGGCTTTGCTAGAACCACGGAGTTAACGCGGAGCCATTTTCTCCTGGAGCACTGCGAACCGGTTGTGCGCAAAAGTGGTGGTGCCAGTAGAGTAGGCATCGCTTTGGCATTCCATGTCCGACCATGCTATAACTTTTTTATTAATATTGTATTTTTCATATGCTAATTGCGCATTAAGGTGCACGTCATGTTTCATCGCTTTGTATTGCAAAGATTGCTTACCTTCCATATCATTTGTTGATGAAATAAATGTTTTATTTTTCAAACGGCTGTTCTTAAATGCACTGAAAAGAAACTAGGAGATAAAATTAACAAGTATTGTTCGGAAAGAAGAAAAAGGGTGTGTTCCGAGATCAGGATCTAGTGAGTGTGTTCTGTGTCGTTTCTCTTATCGTCAAGAAACAAATGATACATAATAGTTGCACTGTCTCCAAAAGAGCCGCTTTCGGAACAAACGCACACAGTCACACCGTATAGAGCAAGAACACGTGTATATTTATTAACAATTTATGTCATGGCGCGAGTTCTGCATCTGAATCTAATTAATAACTGGTATCCAATATAATGTCACTATTATACCCAAAGATCATAACCCACACAAAACAATGCAACACGTATACGGTATACTGCGAAGACGGTGTCGCCGACTCACTCCGGGGGCCGTGGTTACGAGCCGCAGCTTCGCACCCACGGGCACTCGCTGGAGCCGATCGTCGCCGACCACGCCAAGCCGCAAAAGACTTATTGTGATAACCCTCATTAAAGTGGTGATGCCCAAGGGGCGGCTTTCAGCTCTCCCATAGTAGAGTACCGAGTACTCTGAATTGTTAAGCACTTTTTCCAAACACACAGGGCTCTTCCTCGCGAACCTCGCTCCTGCCTGGCGGCGTTTATGGCACCACCGCACGAGCACAGTACCACCTCTTGCTCAGCGGCTTTTAAGTTATTAATCCCACAGCTAGAGCTAACTAATATGCGGTGTGTTCTTTTTAAATGCGAAGCACTTCTTAGGGAACTTCGGCGACTTTGAGCGTATCTATCTAGGCGACTTTGAGCGTATCTATCTATCTATCTATCTATCTATCTATCTATCTATCTATCTATCTATCTATCTATCTATCTATCTATCTATCTATCTATCTATCTATCTATTCTATCTATCTATCTATCTATCTATCTATCTATCTATCTATCTATCTATCTATCTATCTATCTATCTATCTATCTATCTATCTATCTATCTATCTATCTATCTATCTATCTATCTATCTATCTATCTATCTATCTATCTATCTATCTATCTATCTATCTATCTATCTATCTATCTATCTATCTATCTACTATCTATCTATCTATCTATCTATCTATCTATCTATCATCTTCTATCTATACGCCTACGACTTTCAGCTCTCCTGGCCGTTTCGATAATGGTATCAATACCAAACTTGGTATGGCATAACATGACTGCATGAAGAACATATTTGAATAGTCATAACATGAATGTCATGATTTACATTTCATTGTCCTGCAGCCCTTGCGGTGGTATCGTTCACATGACATGTTGCAAAGCTGGTATGGTATGGCATGATTGCACGGCGAACGCAAGCGACAGACCCTAACATGAAAATCATGACATGCGTGTCATGTAACTACATGACTACATGCTACGCTCATGATGCGCTCGCGGCCGTTTCGCTAGCTTCACATGTACCAAGTTTGGTATTACAGTACATGAATGAATGACGAAGGTATGTTATTGGTCCAAACATGATAATCATGAGATGGGTGTCATGTAATAACATGACTACATGCCATGCTCATGATGCGCTGGCGGCCGTTTCGCTAGCTTCACTTATACCAAATTCAGTATTATGGGACGTGAATAGATGACGAAGGTATGATACTGGTGCAAACATCGAAAACATGAGATGCGTGTCATGTAACAACATGACTACATCCTAAGCTCATGATGCGCTCGAGGCCGTTTCGCTAGCTTCACATATACCAAATTTGGTATTACGTAACGCCAATGAATGACGAAGGTATATGACCGGCGCAAACATGAGAATCATGAGATGCGTGTCATGTGAGAACATGACTACATGCCACAGTCAAGGCGCCCATACATTTTGACGTAACGCGGTGCGCGAGCTCACCGGTGTTGCCACCTCAGGCGCCGGTCCTCTCGCAGGCGCGCGCTGCGAGTCGTTGCTTTGACGCACGCGCGTTTTAACGCATCCGGCGTCCCTCCGTCACAAAAAGAGGGAGACGCAGTTTCGTCTAGGCAGCGCCTGGTCTAGGTAATGCATCGGCGCGAAAAGCAGCATGTCGCATTTCGCGCCGGTTGCCGTCGGGCCACGCCGAGGACGCTAGTCGTCAGATTATAGAGTGATCGCGTTTTCCTAACGTAGCATCGCTGTGCCCAGCGTGCGTGCGCGTCAACGCTACATTGGAGTATTCATTGGGCCCGTCATGATGCACTCACGACCGTTTTAAGTGTGAATACACTTTATAAGCGACCCCAAACCATCCACCGCCGTCGGCGGCGTCCGCAGTCTTCTCTCTATCTTTAAAAGAAAGAGGACTTGGCGGGCCGCAGCGCGACGCTCTACCGAATAAGCCGCCGACGCGACGCTGATATCCCCCTTCGCTCGCTCCTCTGCTCTCCTCGCTCGCTGCAGGGAGCGCGCACCCCTATCTCTCGCGCGCCCGCCCTCTCTCTCAGTCTCCCGTCGAGAGCGGGTCGTGCGATGAATGTCCCGGAGTCAACGCTACCATCAACAACGAATGCAGTACAACCGAATGCCAGCACTGCACCCGTCGTTGGAGGTGACGGTACCGCGGTGGTTTCGCCGACGTTGGAAGACAAGGCGGCGCTACGAAGGGCTCGTGCGACCGAACGTAAGCGGGCGAAGCGTGCAGCGGATGCCGAACGGCGTGCTCGCGAGGCCGAGGACAAGCGGGCGAAGCGTGCAGAGGATGCCGAACTTCGCGCTCGCGAGGCCGAGGACAAGCGGGCGAAGCGTGCAGCGGATGGTGAACTGCGCGCTCGCGAGGCCGAGATGAGGCGTCAGCATCGAGCCGCGAACGCGGCCCAAAAAGCGGAACGACAACGCAATCGTCAGGCGGAGAAGGGCGATGAAGGCCGGCGTCAAGACGCCGCTCGCAATCGTCAGCGTCGAGTGGACGTTCCCGAAGCCGTTCGAGCCAGTGAACGTGCCGCGCGGGAGAGGGTGCGAGCCCTGGACTTTGCTCGTCCGGGGCTCGCATGCTATGAAAGTTAAAATTCGTTGGCATTCGCCCGTGAGTTAACGTAAACTCCCCCGTGTGATCGAATTGCGATTCCCAGGAACCATTACACCATAAAGGCACCATAGTGTGATTAATAAATATAATAGTGCGAATTAATAAATAACCCTCATAGCATCACCCCGTGCATTCGCACTTAACCATGCTCAGCCTCGGGGAAATGCTTGGGAGTTTTTGCTAGCTCCACATATGCCGAATTCGGTGTTACGTGACGTCAATGAATGATGAAATATATGACTCGTGCAAACATGATAATTATAACACGCGTGTCATGTAAGAACATGACAACATACCACGCTCATAGCGTGCTCGCGGCTGTTTTGCTAGCTCCACATATACTAAGCGTGGTATCACGTGACTATTAGATGACGAAGGTAAGCGACACATTCAAACATGATAATTATTACACGGAATTCATGTACGGCATCATTTACCTCCACCTCGTAACGTTGTGCTCATTTTAAAGTGACATATCAACATTTCTCATTCGTGCTTTGCATATCATCGGTCCCATTGTACGTGGGATCTGCCAATTTTTCTTGACCTACTTTCCAAATGTGTGGTGGTCACTCCTGAATTGAAGAAGCGCAAACCTTATGATATTAATATTTAGCATTTTATTGGCTCTTTGATTCCACAATCCGAAGTAATGAAATGTTATAATATGCAGAGTACCTGCTCAAACACCCCCCCCTCCCGCTCACCCATGATATTGGCGAAATTTCACGCCCCCGACCCCCAGAAATCTTGATGATGCTATGTAGATTTCGATGCCGCAATAGCCGTGCTTGGCCAAACACAGCCATACCCTAGGAATCCTGGATGCGCTAGCAGCATAATTGTTATAATTGGGCACTATACTATTATTGTTGCAGCGAACTTTTGCTTTACAAAACAGTGGGAATCCAATAAATGACAGAATTGCAGGGGAAATGGAGCTTGAAGAAATTCAGGAAATTGTGAGCACGGGGCCGACGTTTCGACAAACGGACTGGTTTTCGTCAAGGCAGCAACTGCCTCTTGTCTCCTCTTAAAAAGGCCCTTAAACACTGCTTCAAGTAACCGTGGAATGAATTCATTGTAAGAGCTTATTGCCTCACGAATTCAACGCCGCAAAAATTTGAAGAATCCGTCCAGTGCGAGTGGAGTTACAAAGGTTTGTCGCATGTTGCTATTGCATTCTATCTTCTCTCGTCCCGACGAAAATGCTGGAAGCTAAATAGGGAGGCATGACAGGGCGAAAGAAAAACGTCACGCGCGCTTCGTGGCCTTGAGCACTTCTTTTCTTTTCTTTTTCTTCAACTGCGCGGCTTTGTCAGTGTGATCGCGCGCGCACGCGTCGACAAGTAGCGGCCTCCCGCGCCGATCTCTTGTAACGAGTGAGCATGACATGTTCAAATCAGCCAATGGCTGATAGATGGGCTTACTACGTGTGATTTGCGGGCACACTACGTGATTTGTCGCGAGAAGGGAAAGCAATTTTAAGCTGACTTTGATAATTTATTGCGAATTCCAGGCCGCGCACTGTGCTCTAATATTTGGCTCGCATGTTGTCGGGAGCCTCTACTACTGATCGGCAGTGTTTTGTGACCATGCTCAAAAGTATTGCAGGGCCCTTTTAATTCTCCCTCAAAGGCTCCTCATCTGTTTCGGGTTGAAGGAGAGGGTGCGAAGCGTAAGCACACATGATACCGAGGGAAAGCAGTTGCCGCCTCGAAGAAGACCAATCTGCTTGTCTAAACATCGGCTCCAGCGACACCCAGTGTTCAAGAAATTTTTGTGCGCAATGGTATGCAACAGGCACGTCATTTGTCATCCTAAGTGTAATGTAATGAGTATACCTTTGTCTCATACAACGCTTTCCTTGTGCCTGGGGAAGAAATGCGTTATGGCTCGTACAGATCCTTCATACTGACCAGGGACGTAGCTAGGGGTTGGCGCACCGAGTCAGGGGTCG